AGATCTAAATTTTGGTAAATATAATTTACCTAAGGTGTTATTAGTACAAGGTGGATAATTGAATTATAGTGTACTACAGAGTTATAATTGATATTTAAATTCTCTTCGAGTATAGCATCAAATTAACAAAATGTTTGTAAGTTATGCTATTAGGAAATTTGTAAAAATAGAGAATTAGGTAAATCGTACTTATCGCTTTCTATTATACTGATACGATTTTCGCAAGCGAAACAAGTTCCCATAATCTTCTCGCGGCTCATACGCATTATTAGATTACATTTGATTAGCATCAGACGCGAAGAATTATTAAAAGACCTATAACGCAAAAACTCTGAAGAACTATAAAGAATAACCCAGTGAACACAAAGTTACCTGTTAGTTGTAATTTCCTATTCATAATCTATTCATAACGTAATATAACTCGTATATAACTGTTATGTTACGGTTATATTGTTGAATGGGAAAACTAACAGATACATAACATGTAACTTGTGTTCACCGGAAGGTTTTAATATACTGATTTTGATAATTATCCAGAATTGCGTCACCTCCGATTTCAATGAAATTAGGCTCATTTGACGCGTTTTTTCACAAAATGAAAAAAATCTGACAGAAAAAAATGCCGAACTGCCCTGCGAAGCGAGATATTAAACATTAAAATTAGCTATTGAAGCGTTAAATGGCTATTGAAGTTAGGAAATCTGCAAAATATTACGATGAAAGCATGTGCTGGGCTGCATTCAAGGGCACTATTCTATATGTCTTTACACGCTTATCGATACAGTTGTCGATGTCGTTGCGCAGATATTTTATATGGTGAAAAAGCTGCACAATGACATCGACAACTGTCGGTAAGTGTGTAAAACAGTTACAGGAAGCTTTCCAACAAGAGACACAAATTGACACAAGAATCATGTTGTCCTTGTTTAATTAAAGTTTACAATAATCAGTTTCATTTTTTTACATAAAAATCAATTCTTAGTGCAAAAATATTTTCATTTTTGCACTAAGAATTGATTATACATAATGTTGTTCAAGATCATGTCTTGAATCTGACATATATCAAGATCAAGGTCATTAGGAGATTATTCTTCTTATTTTCATTTTTGTACTAAAAATTCATTTCTACATAAAAATGAAAATAAGAGGTACAATCTTCAAGAGGTTTTACCCGTCGGTTGGATATCTTGGGTAATATTAATGCCGACGATATTGTAACTTTCAAGCCTTATAACTCGCAAAGTACTTAATGAAAAAATATTTTATTACAGTGTTTTGAAATGCTCTCGAGGTAAACTGCAAGAATATGTAATAAAAAATGGGTTACTCCATTTAAAAAATTCGAAATAATCTTGACGACGCCACCAAGTCAAATCAATAGCACGATCTTATGTTTCCCTGCAAATCCCAAAACTTTTGTCTAAAACATTTTTCCTTAAAATGCACTGTTTAAAAGATATTTCAACTTGAAATGTTCCGGAGATTTAAATAGTTCCCCAATCGGATTTCTGGGGGAAACAGATTTGAGCGGAATAAAAGCAATGATGAATATACATAGAAAAATCAACATAGGCACATGGAATGTGCGGAGTTTATTTGAGGCAGAAAAACTAGCCAACCTAATCTAAGAAATGAAGAGGCTTGATATCGGTATACTGGGTGTAGCGGAATCTTGGTGGCCGGATGCCGGAATGTGCACCGAGGAGGTGTGTTCTGTTATTTGGGCAATCAAGATAGGAATCATCGGAAGGGAGTTGGAATTATTGTGTCGGAACGTCTTAGAAACTGCATCATCGACTTCATACCGTATTCAGATAGAATAGCGTTGATGAGATTTAATGCCAGCCTACTAACTTAAACATCATTCAGATATAGACGCGCTAATTGCCGATGCATCAGACGAGGAGATAAAAATATTCTATGAGCAGATAAAAGAAATGTTAAAACTCACCAGAAAACACAATATTAACATAATCATGAGCGACTTCAACTCTAGACTAGGGAAAGGAAGGTTTGAGGATTTGGTGAATCCATTTGAACTGGGAACAAGAAATGAGAGGGGAAAACAACTCGTGCAATTTTGCCAGGAAGAAGACATGAGAGTTACCAACGCATGGTTTCAATTACCACCTAGAAGATTATATATATGGAGATTTCCCAAAGACAGCCAGGGA